GAGTATGGGGATTCCGAATACCCAACTTGCCAAGAAAGTAATCAAACTTCGGCTTTCCCAATGCTTTAGTGAAGATGTCGGCAAGCTGGACACGAGTGGACACATAACTAGGTAGAATGGTACCCTTGAGAACCTCATCGCGGGCGAAGTGGAAGTCAACCTCGATATGCTTCGTCCGCTCGTGGAAGACGGGATTAGCTGCGATATGTAGAGCAGTCTGACTATCACAGAAGAGCCGAATAGGCTGAGGATGCAGAACACCAAGAAAATGTAACAAACCCCGCAACCATTTCACTTCACAGACTGTATAGATGCCATAAAACGATATTCTGCTTCGGCGGAAGAACGGGCAACCGTCTGCTGCTTCTTAGTCTTCCACGCGATAGAAGAGTGGCCCAACTGGACTAACCACCCTGTAAGAGAACGACGGGTCAACGGGCAACTAGCCCAATCAAAATCACACCAACCAGTCAACTGGAGGTCGGAATCAGCCCGAAGAAAGATCCCCTGACTAGGATTGCCCTTTAAGTATCGAACAACCCGAAGTGCAGCCTCTCAATGCGCTTGCATAGGCTTCGGCATGAACTGAGCGAGGGTATGAACACAATAAGACAACTCTGGTCTCGTAACAACAAGGTAAATTAAGCGACCAACCAACCGGCGATAGACCTCAGGATTGCGCAAAGGAGTATCAGTAACTAGCGGAAGGTAATGATTTTGCTCCATAGGAAAACCGGCGGGTTTGGAACCCAGAAGACCAACCTCGGAAATAATATCCAGGGCATACTTGCGTTGGTAGAGAAAGATGCCAGAGGGATGGCGGGCCACCTCAATGCCGAGAAAGTATTTGAGAATGCCAAGATCTTTCATGTGAAAACAGGTACTCAAATAGTTTTTGAAAGACTGAATAGCAGCGCGATCATTACCCGAAACGATGAGATCATCCACGTAGACCAACACAGTAAGCTGGACAGTTGCTTGGCGAAGGACGAATAAAGAGTAATCAGAAGATAATTGTTGAAAACCATATTGGCAAAGAGCACTAGCCAACTTGGCAAACCAACAACGCGGGGCTTGGCGCAGACCATATAGTGAACGACGAAGGCGACATACCGTCCCGGGAGACGGAGAAGAAAAACCGGGAGGGAGCCGCATATATACTTCCTCGACCAAATCGCCATGTAAAAAGGCATTGTGAACGTCCATTTGATGAAGTTCCCAGCCCTTTGCAGCAACAACTGTAAGAAGTGTACGGACTGTGACCATCTTTGCCACGGGAGAAAAGGTTTCATTGTAGTCAAGTCCCTCAATCTGATTATTGCCCAAAATGACGAGATGAGCCTTGTAGCGCTCAACCGTGCCATCTGAGCGGTACTTAATTTTGAATACCCATTTGCACCCAATGGCACGTTTTTCGGGTGGAAGAGAATCAATAGTCCAAGTACCACTCTGTTCCAAGGACTCAATTTCCCGTTGCATAGCAGCACGCCACCGTGCATCTTTAACAGCTTCGTTAAAGGAACGCGTTTCCACCCCGGCAGTAACACTTGCCAAAAATGCTCGATGGGATGATGAAAAAGAATCACAAGAAACATAATTATGTATGGGATATGACGCACCTGAGGAAATCGATGAAGAGGAGGGAGTGAGAGAGGGGCCTGAAGAAGATACTGTGTGGGCAACAAAATCCTTCAAGCGAGTAGAACGCTCCTTAACCCGATGGCCGCGGCCTAAAGGTTCCTCTGGTGGAGTCGAAGAAAAAGAGCCCCCCCTATCTGAGGTGGAGATACCGGGAGTGTCGGAGGCGGCCGGAGAGTCAGAGGTAGCCGGAGAGTCAGAGGCGACCGATATAGAAGAGGTGGCGGGAGTAGACTCAACAATCGCAGTGAAATCATCATCATCAATGATAGGAGGAGAGTCAACAATAGACGAACTAGGCGGAAGAGGAGTATTGGCAAAATACGGAAACTCAGACTCGGAGAAACTAACATCACGAGAGACGAAAAATTCCCCAGACTCTAAGTTATAAACCCGCCAACCTTTTTGGCCAATGGGATACCCGACAAATAAACACTTGCGACCTCGAGGAGAAAATTTATCACCTTTAGTATGTTTATTATGGGCATAACAGAGGCACTCGAAAACACGCAAGTGAGCTAAAGATAGGGGTTTTCCATGCAAGATTTCACATGGGGATTACCCTTTAAGACATTGGAAGGAGTGCGATTAATCAAGTAACTAGCAGCAAGTACACAATGTCCCCAAAACTCGATGGGCAAATTAGCTTGAAAACGTAAAGCTCTAGCCATATTGAGAATATGCCTATGCTTACGCTCGACCCGACCATTTTGTTGAGGAGTCGCGACACAAGAAGTTTCATGCAAAATACCAAGTTGATGAAAGTAAGAGGGGAGACACATGAATTCAGTCCCATTGTCACTACGGATACGTTTAACTGTCTTTTCATATTGACGTTCAACCATAGAAATGAAATTTTTCAACTTCAAAGAAACTTCCGTCTTATCTAACAACAAGTAAATCCACGTAGCTCGAGAAAAAACATAAAAAATGGTTAAAAAATATCGTGCACCAGAAAAAGAAGGAATCCTATAAGGACCCCATAAATCACAATGTACGAGTTGAAAAAGCTTATGAGAAATAGTTGTACTGATAGGAAAGGAAGTTCGAGACTGCTAAGCCCTAAAACAAACATCACAGGCCTTATTGACAAAGCTACCATCTTTGGAATGACCGACACTAAGAATCAAGTCGAGAACCTTTGGAGAAGGATGACCTAACCGTTGATGCCACAAATCGACTGAAGGAACCATAGTAGTAGTAATAGCTGCAGAAATCTCCCAATCGCTAAAGAAATAGAGCCCCTCTCGTTGCTCACCCGCTCCAATCGGCATCCTCGAAGTGAGGTCCTGTATAACACAAAAATGTTTATCAAAGTAAGCAACCGAGGCCGTATCTTTTAGCAATTGAGAAACCGAGATCAAATTTCACAGTAAACCTGGTACATATAACACATTAATCAACGAAACTTTGGGGCTAAGAACTACGGTGCCCTCTTTAGTAGCGATAATACGTTGATCATTAGGTAATTGAACCAAAACACCTCGGATATCTCGAACAATATTAAAATGGCACAATGAACTTGTCATATGACGAGTAGCTCCAGAGTCATACATCCAATTACCAAAGACACCCTTACCAGACAAAGAAGTCGAAGGAGCTGTAGGCGGTGGTGAAGCCGAATTGAAAAGATTGCGCAAGACGGTCCACTGTTCGGGATTGATTCCAGTAAATACTGAAGAAGAATGACTGCCATCGGTACCAGCACCAGGAACCGGGGAAGCCATCATGGTGTTTGCAGCCGCAACATTTGGGACAAATCCACCAGCGCCGCTAGCCTGTGCACCACCACCATGCTGAGATTTGATATTCCCGCGACCCCGTCCACGCCTACCACCACGAGACCATCCTTCGGGAAACCCATGAAGTTTGTAGCAAGTCTGAGTGGTGTGATTGGCGCGGTTGCAGTGGGTGCAAAATTGTCCTGATCCTGATCCGAAAGCTGGTGGAGTCGACGCAACACCACGCCCGAAATTAGGAGAAACGGAGGAGGCATCCAATGCAAGCACAGTGCTAGCAGCAACAGGACGAACCCCAGAAAATCCAACAGGAGTTTGAACAACAAAACTCATTTCTCCGACGGGATCTTTGGATTGAGTCATCAGTCGAAGACGTTCTTCCTGAACAATTGTTGAAAACGCCTTCTTCAGCCTGGGAAACGGATCTTGGGAGATAAGAGAGGAGCGTACAGTGGCGTACAAAGCATTGTCAAGGCCGAGTAAGAATTGATGCACCTTTTCTTCCTCTAGCCGTCGTTCGGAGGCCGCCGTAATATTGCACGAACAGCCACCGCAAGAACATGTCAGAACAGCGTCATAAGAAGCGAGTTCCTCCTAGATTTATTCAGACGACCATAGTAAGCGATGACGCTCGAACCCTTTTGTCGGCAATTAGCAAGATCCGACTTGAGTTGTTGGATTCGAGGACCATTGACGATGGACAAACTTTCTTTTATTTCTATCCACTGATCGCGAGCCACCTCCATGTGAGTGAGTGTGGATCGAAGAGATGGTTCAACGGTATTAAGAATCCACGACACGATGAGCGAGTTTATCGTCCACTAGTCTTCCAAATCCAGTGAAGATTCAGACGGCTCAGGAATGGTACCGTTGACAAATCCAAACTTCTTTCGGGCACGCAAGGCAGTCTTCATGGCCTTAGCCCATTCTTCATAATTGCTCTCGCCCCGTAATTGGACTTGAGTGATAATATTGCCAGGATTATCACTGTTATTATCACTGGCCGTAAGATCGAACGGGAAAATAGTTCGATGCCTGGGAACATCATCGCCGCTACTGGGAGGAGTCCTCTGGGAGGACTCCGGAGTTTTGTCGCCAACAGAGAAAGACATTATTGGCGATTAAAAAGAAATAATAAAAAGAAAACAAGATCAAAGAAAAAACCCTGGCTCTGATACCATGAAGAGAAACTCAATTCTTAACGACAATTGAATTATGTCGATGGATCAATATTCTCTGGTGAGGTCTATAGATATAGTTACAAGACGGAGTAATCAATCATCTCCGTGAGATCTGCCCTAATCTATGTAATTACAGCAAGATATATTCCCCATATACAGACTTAATATATTTACCGTATATATAGACCTAATACCAACACTCAATGGAATGAGTTCTATTTGTTGCACTTCGAGATTGGTTCATGGCTAACTTATATGGTGGATTCGCCCCGACAGTGGCAAACTGGGAATCATTATTTGGTCTCACAGTTTGGCGCCTTTTGGCCAGGGACAGATACTGGGAAAAAATTTGAGAGTGGCTAAAGCAGTTATTGCAACCGGATAATTGGATTGTATTTGTTCAACTCGTGATAGTT